GGTACGGGGGATTGTGCGTGTGCGCGCGTGTGCACGCCCGTGTGCAGGGAGAGCTGCAGAGGTGCAATAGGTGTGCAAATGCATGCAGGGTTAGCTGCAGGTAATGGGTGTGTGTGCGTGTGCACGCAGGGTGAGCTGCTGAGGTGTGGGGGGTGTGCGTTTGCATGCAGGGTGAGCTGCAGGGATGCAACGGGTGTGCATGTGTGTGCGTGTGCATGCAGGGTGAGCTGGAGGGGTGCAATGCGTGTGCGTGTGTGCACAGTGAGCTGCAGGGGAGCAGTGTGTGTGTGTGCACGTGTGCATGTGCCTGCAGGGTGAGGTGCAGAGGTGCAATGGGGGGGGGTGCACATGTGTACGCATATGCACCCCCATGTGGTGTGAGAGCTGCAGGGGTGCAATAGGTGTGTGCATGCAGGGTGAGCTGCAGGCGTGTAGCAGGTGTGTGTGTGGGGGGGTGTACACACAGAGCTGCAGGGGTGTGAGCTGTATGTGTGTGCATGCATGCAGGGTGAGCTGCAGGGGTTGTGCTGGCATGTGCAGGGTGTGGTGTGGGTGCATGCATGATCAGCTGCAGGGGTGTGTGCCTGCACAATTGCAGGGAGTGTGCGCATGTGCGTCCAGGGGGGGTTAGGGATGTGTGACTGCATGCATGCAAAAGAGTAGATGCATGGTCATGAGAGCTTCAAATTTGTATGATTCTGTGCGCACCCATGCAAATGAGGGGATGGGAGTGTGGGGGCCATGTGTGCACACAGGTTGGGGACACACAGGCCTGTGCATGCATGCACACGGGTGGGTCAGGGCCTCTGCGTTCACACATGCCAGGACAGGTGTGTGCATGTTCACGCACAGAGAGATGCACAGGCAATGGTGTCTGCATGTGTGCACGTGCGGGAGTGATGCAGGGACACATGGCAACGTGCAGAGGCGGCCTCCTTGTACGGAGCCAGGCAGGAGGCATGCCACCACACACGGCTCTATATTTTTTATAGGCTCCTGGAAGTGGGAAATGGAAAAACCCTCTCGTCTCCCAGCACGTCTTCATCGGATCCCACCATGTGTCACAGCACCCGTCCCTGTCACAGCAGCTGCTCTAATGTGCTGGGGATGGCGGGTGCAGCGTGGCCACGCAAGCATTGACGTGAGCAGCTTTTAAACCCCTTAATCCCATCCTTAGCAGCAAAGGGGTTGTCATGTGCCCAGGACACCCTGGGGAGATTTGCCTTTTTGCTACGCTTAGGGCTAAGCCCCTGAGTGGGCAGGAGGGAGCAGGTACGCCCAGGGCTGAGGGTGCTGCCCAGGGGCTGTATGGGTGCCTGCAAGTACCTGTGCTTTGCATGCTGTGCAAGCGTGTGCATGTAGCAACAGGGCCGTGCCTGCTGGGTTGTATGTGGGTGCTTGCAACATGGTGGTCGGAGGGTCCCCTCACCCAGTGCATGCCTAGAGCAGCTCCAAGGCCTGCAATCAAACCCAGCAGGCCCTAGGCATTTTGCTAGGATATTTCATGGGGTGTTGCACAGGGGGTTGAGCGTTCGGGACACCGTCCCCAGCATGCATCTTGGATCTCGGCGGATGAGGATGTGAACGGCAACCCTAATGCAGCACCCCACAACGGGACAGGGCGAAGCGGGTGACCTGCCCCTCGCAAGACTTCCAGGCCTGCTGTGCGGGATGCCAGGTGCATGCTGGCTAGCCTGCATCATG